AAACAAATTTAAAATTTTATTATAAATAATGATTGAGCTCTCATTGACTTACGAAATCTCAAAGAATTTACTGAATAAAATAGACATAAAATCAAATAGAATTTTTTGTTTAACAATCTTTAAACTTAACAACTTAACAACTTACTACATTCAAAAAACATAAACATAATTATATATACTCTAAAAATAATTTTAGCTTTGTCTATATTATGAAAGTTCAAAGACTTTTTTAGAAACCATGCAATATATTATATATTTATTTTAAAAACGTTCTTTTATGTCTGCTTTCGACTGCTGCTTACCATAATTTAGCATAATCTTAATTCCAATGAATTGGCTGGGAGCGCTCATATATCATCATCATTATCATCATTAACATTCACATAATCATCGCAGAGTTAAGCTTAAAGAAAAAGAGTTACTTACATTTTAATGATACCATCAAGAATATAGATGTCGTCGTCGTTGCGTTTTATGACAACACCAACACCAACAACAACAACAACAATACGTTACGAAATTAAGTTAAGAATGGGAAACAAAACAACAACAGCAACAACAATAACAAGCGACAACGGACAGAGGCAACAGTCAACGAACAATTTGCATGAAAGTGGCACACAATATTGTCAACAAAAGTTTTCAGTTTTATTTTTCTGGGTTCTCGAACGGAAGCCGGCAGATAAAACAGCAAATGCAACAGCAACAGCAATAGCGGCAACAGCAACAATAAGAATATCAACAGCTACAACAACAAGAACAATAAACGTTGAGCCCACCGACAAAACATAAACTTCAACTTCAACTCCAACTTCAATGACGTCGTTTCTTGATTGCCCAATATGGAGAAATGTTCAGCAACATTGACTTAAGATCTCCATCCGATGTTGTGGACAACAACCGGAAAATATAGAAATAATTGAATGACGAACACCAAATACACTTTGAACCATGGAATATATATGAAGATTATATTAGAATTTACTATACGCAAATTGTTTTTTAGAATGTATATTATTTATATAAATCTGTGTTTTTTTATAGATTAAATTATGTCATAAATGTATATCGCAATTCAAAATAATAATAAATATTAGCTTAGTTATATTGAAAGAACATGAACTGTAAATGTATTTTTGTTTATATAATAGATCATTCAATCTATATAAAAAATATTTTGTTCAAAGTATAAGTTAACCTTGAGCCTAGCGCGAAAGAAACAATAGAGTCATTTTAAGATTGTAAGAAGGTGAAATTATGATTATACTATAGTAAACATGGATGTATTTAATTAAATAATTTAACTTACGTAGATTGCTCAAAAATATGATTTCAATCGTTCCCTAAGAAGAATAAAAATGTAGATTTATTAAAATAATTTTGAATATATTCTAATTTTAACAACCAATCAGACTACACTCTTGGATCTAAAAACTCATGCTTTTAATCCAATTAACAATATATGTACGGCTAATCAGATTACTATAGAGCATAGCATATCTAGTAAGATATGACTAATGCCCGCTGCTAGGGCAACAAAAACTTTCTGATTGAAGTGTTGTGAAGGAAGGGGAAGTGCTCAAATGGATTTTGCATAGAAAAGCCATTAGGCATTTTTAATCATCATCAGATACTACCATATACCAATATTTAAATACACACACATAGTTATATGGGTGTGTGTGTATGAAAGGTTTTGTTTAGTCCATTGTTGTTGGTCTGTTATTATTAGAACACAAAAACCAAGTGAGCGTTAAGATCAGACGAACAGAGAGCTGGAAAAACTTTCTCATCTGGCAAAAGGCTGGCTGACTCTCTGTCTGTCTGGCTGGCTGTGTGTCTGACTTCTACAGTGGACGTCACCTTCACCCATTTCAATGCAATCCGCTCAAATTTCACCCACCGTGCTCGCTTGACGTTGATTAGCATGTGGCATACATAAATCTTAGTGTCTTGCTGGTTGGGGCTTCCGTTTCCCTTTTTGTAGAGCACTTCTATTAGATCTGCGTTTGAGATAGCGATTGCGATTGCGATTGCTTTCCATGTTTAGGCGAGCATAACTGTTGCACTTATTAAATAGTAGTAGATGACTTCGTGCTGATCTCGGCTAAGGCATAATGGGGCCAACGATCTTGGCCAGAAGCAGCCAAACAACTTAATGAGACACCAAGCAACAAGCCGCGGCCCAAACAGCTGCTGCTGCTGCCGCCAGTTCATTTTACTCTTTTGTTGCTGTTAGAATGAAAGTAAAAATATTTGTGAAAGTTTTACTTCAGTTTTTTTTTTTTTTTTTTTCTTTTTGTGTAAGTGCTGCTTAGCTTTAAATTACTTTTTGCCAAAAATAAGAAAATACAAAAAATAATAATATACGCATCTAAGATCTGCCAGGGCGAGCGCCATGGAATCATTATTCTTTCTTACGATAATAATTAACATTCATCAGCACCGACAATTGAAAGTTGCCAAGAAAGTGGAGCCTTTCAAGCGTTAGCTGAAATTAGTCATCAAAGTTTCCTCTAACTTGATCTCAGAGTCTCATTAAGCTTGCAAGCAAGTACAACGTAAAGAGACTCAAACAATCTTGAATTTATTGTAATCATTGGCCAGAAAAAGATAATGATGAAAAAAATTAAAAATATAAGAATTTCAACATTGAAAAAAATGTATTTATTAAATACATATTAACTTATTGATCAGAATTATTTTCTTTAATTTTTCTATACTAACCCTCTACTACAAATTTTCTAGTTTTGTTTTTCATATTTAATATTCTCTCTATAACCGATTTCCATTGTCTAGGGTATTCAATTACAAAAACACAATTCAAACTGCGTAAACAATTCTCCATGGGCAATTAGCTAAAAAAAAAAAAAAAAAAAAAAAAAATGAAAACTACAAACTAAAAACAAAGTACTGTTGCGCCCAACCCTCTTGGCTTTGTTTTAAGCTATCCAGCAAATTGGTTGGCTAATTATTGCGATTTTGGCCTGAGATTTGAATTTGTGTCAGTTGCATGAACTGGGCTATCGCTGATCGCTGATCGCAGAGCCGACTAACTGATAAACACAGTTATTACAACAGAACCACAAGACCAGAATAGAACATAGAGAGTACCAAAAATAAGACCACGAACGGGAAAGCAGGTGCCGCGGTGCAGCGAGGGCAGATTCTGGGCTAATGGCAACGGCGACGGCAACGGCGGCGGCAACTTTTAATGATTATGATTATGAATTTCGTGCGGTTTCCCCTTAATGGACAGAGATCGGTGTCAACTTTGGGAAATGCGATTGTGAAACAGAGTCGGCCAACTGTATGTTATATGTGACATGGTAAATGTGTCAGGGAACCGAAAGTAAGAAGCGACACTAAAGTAGAATGTAAACAATTGCCAGACAGCTATTAAAGTTACAGCACAAGTTAAGAAATAGAAACTGGGTCGAAAGAAAGGATTAAGAAATTCATATATAATGTCATGTGATATAAGGGGGTATGGGTGATTGGATTATAAATTGTACAATATTTGTCATAGAGTATATTATATAAGTGACGAAACGATTATCGATGAGACCAGAAAAAGATAATTGAGCACAATTATTGTATGTATAATATTAACTACAGAATTAAAAATGTTATAGCAGAATTAATAAAAATTTATATAATTCACAAAATTGTAGAACAAGTATTATCATTTATTTATTCATATTTTTTCTTTCTATCTTACCAATTTTGGTTGCATTATAAAAGCATAAATCTTGTAGATTTTTTAGATTTTACAAATAAAAAATAAAATTAAAAAAAAAAGTTAATGATCATTTTCAAACTAGCAAAACATTCCAAAACTATTCAATTCAATGGTTATTATTATTATTTTTTCATATACTGTAGAAAATGTTTGTGATTTCACTGTGTGAAAATTTGGCGTGACAAAAATCTAAATATAAAATCGGCAGAGAAATGGGGAAACTTTAATAAAAAATAAAATATTTATAATATTTATATTTCCTTGTAAATCTTGTATTTTTAACATAAATAATATTATTTGTTTTCGTCTATATTATATCAGTCTTTATATAAAATCTCTGCAAGTTAAGCTTATCCTAGTGATGCCCTTATGTGTTTTCACGCCCTACAATATTTATCATTGAATACTCACGAATGAGCTATTAAGTCATGGCAGTCATGGCTGGAAATGAATAGCCCAAACCAAATGAGTCTAATAATGATTAAGCCTAAGCACACTTTCGCCCATTGCCAAAAACTTTATGGGCCCAAAAGAAGAAAAAAAAAAACAACAACCACAAAAAAATTCAGAGAGAATTAAACACACTGTGAGCAAAGCAATTGTGTGGGAATTTAGAGCAGATTCAATGAGAAAATTACTTAATGTTTCTTGTGGTGTTGGCGTTGAAGTTGGAGTCGAAATTGTAGTTAGACTTGGAGTTAGAGTTGGACTTAAAGTTGAAGTTGGTACGAAAATTGGCACACAATAGTTTGTGG